CTTAAACAAGTTGCATTTAAAAGTACAAATTTGTCTAATGACTACCTAAGAACTCGTTCACACCCCATACGGTGACCTGCTTTTTTCCATGCTGGATAAATGAAGGTCACCGCTAGGGCACATAGAAAACATTTGTTTTCTGTGTGCCACCCTGGTGTGCGCAGTGCTGCACTTCACTGGATGGCACCACATGCCACCACGCAGCAGCACAATGCCTAATGCTTCAGTGGAGTGACATGAACAAAGTGACTCTGTGACACTTCAAATAAAGTTGAAGAAAAAAACAAACAAGCGTTTGCTATGCGCTGAAACACACATCACAGAGCTCCTTGCCTGGGTCAGCACTGTACTAGCCTGGATGGTAAAACGCTTGCATCTGATCTCATGCCTGACTAAGGGGTCCTGCCTGGCCTTGAAACGTTGCACCTTTCTTTTTGTTATGTTATCATTCACATCCTCACAGTCAGCTATGACATCATCAATCACATAATCATCAGCCGTGACATCATAGATGACATCAAAGATTTTCAGACAACATTGATGATCCATGGTGTGCTGGTAAATCTGAACATTGATCTGTGATTGGTCCAGTTTCCAGCTGGATGTCACTACAGCACCCATTACTTCTGAGCCTGATCCAGGAACATGTGCAATGGAAATATTAACATTATCATGACACATATAGCTGTGTCTCAGCCCCACCCCCCAACTCTCTCCTCATTGACTTACTGGCTGTGACTGACAGCAGTGGGAGCCAATGTCTTCTATTGCCTCAGCCAATGAGGGGAGAGAGACCTGGGACAGCCAAGGATCTCACGCACATTGCCGGATCGAGAGGAGGCTCAGGTGAGTAGTAGGGGGGGGGTCTGTGGGGTAGAGCAGCACACAAGGTTTTTAACTTTCATGCATAGAATGCATGAAAATAAAAAAAACCTTCAGCCTTTACAACCACTTTAGCCTACCATTCTGTATCAGGTCTCATACATCAAAGTTTGGAAGTCTTCCAAGATGAGAGAAGTAAAGCTGGTCATACTTGGCTCAGATTTTTCAGTCAGCCAGCCAGCTGAATGAAAAGCCAGAAAAAACTGAAACCAATTTCCCCCATCCACTTGTTCAAGGTGGATGAGGAAATCCTCCCCACTGTGTCATTGTACTTTGACAGTGGGACTACCCTGCCATCAGAATACACCGATCAGCACTACAACTGATTGGCTGTAGCATGAATGAGTGAAAATATACCAAGAAGCCTATTCATGAAAAGTTGATCAACTTCTCCTGAATGGGAACAGCCATACATGGACTTAAATTTGACCTGTTCCTGCTAAACCGGCCAAATATTTGATCCATGTACAGGGTGCAGCAACATAACTTCCTTTTTTGAAATGCGTGCAATTCAGGCTGTAGCGGGGCGGGAGTGGTCTCAGGCGACAGGCGTAGTTCTAAAGTTTTTGTTCTCTTCCAGGTCAGTCATCATCATGCGTTGGAACAGTGAGCAGCGTGCGTTTGCCGTAGAGGCCTACTTTTCGAATGGATTTTCTGTGATCGCAACCCAACGCGTCTTCCAACATCGCTTCAATGTAGCCCCGTTGGGCCGTGTCCCGGACCGGAAATCAATTGTTACGTGGTTCACTACATTCAGACAACCGCGAGTACGACAAGACAAAGAGCTGGAGTCCCTCGACCAATCAGATCACCTGAAAACATCGAAGCAGTGAGAGCTTTAATCTTGCGATCCCCGCAGCGTTCTGCGCGCAAACATGCGTCTGCCCTTGGACTTTTGGATCGTTCAGTGAGGCGAATTCTTCACAATGACCTTCATTACCATCCGTACAAGTTGGCGATTGTGCAGGAACTCTCCGAACGCGACTTCAATTCTCGGAAGAACGCATTTGAGGCAGTACTCGAAAACGTCCCTGAGGACGCAATTGTTTTTTACAGTGATGAAGCCCATTTTCACTTGACTGGATGTGTCAACAAACAGAACATGCGCTACTGGGCCGACACCAATCCTTGAGAATTGCATCAAAGGCCTTTACATTCATCTAAAGTCACAGTGTGGTGTGCAATTGCCTCAGCTGGGATTATTGGTCCCTGGTTCTTTGAAGAAAATGAGGTCACAGTGACAGTGAATTCAGACCGGTATGTGAACATGTTGGAGGAATTTGTTTTTCCACGACTTGATGAATTGGACTTAGGGGACATTTGGTTCCAACAGGATGGAGCAACGGCTCACACTTCAAGAGTATCAATGGCTGTTTTAAGGGAACACTTCCCGGAGCGCCTCATCTCAATAAGGGGCGATTTGGAGTGGCCAGCCCGCTCCCCCGATTTGGCCCCTTGCGACTTTTTTTGGTGGGGTTTTTTGAAATCCCACGTTTATGTAAACCATCCAAGAACCCTACAAGACCTGAAGGCCAACATCTGCGCAGAAATTGCCAACATACCCGCTGCTATGCTGGTAAGGGTCTTGAAAAACGCCAGAAATCGGCTTATTCAGTGTATGGACAATGGGGGGCGTCACCTACCTGATATGATTTTCAAAACTGTGTAAAACAGAACTTTAGATATGTACCTACATTATTAAAGACAATAAAAGCAATTCTGATTCATAAAATGGGTTTTATTGCGTTTTGAAAAAAGGAAGTTATGTTGCCGCACCCTGAATAACCAGCTAAAGTTTAACCAAAAGTATCCCAATAAAGCTTAGTGATTACATTTCAGTGTAGAGGGTAATGATTGCCATGTTAAAACCTAAAACAATCAACAACTTGGTTAAGGGCTTGTTCATATACTAGATGCACAGTAAAATCAATGTCTTCCAATCACCATAGTTCCCACTTCTGTGTTCAGTTAAAGTGCTTTAAACAAGTACAGCAGCTTGTATTTTTTAAATGCAAGTAAAGGCACTGGGATACACATAAAGCAAGGTGGGTCCTTAGCATTCAGAAGATTCTCTGCACTTATGCACATACCAAACAATAGAGAATCCAAGGAAGTGACTTCAAGTAAATCATGGCAGACTGCTTTCAAAATAAAGAATTTGCAAGTAAAAAAAAAAAAAAGAAAATACAAACATTGCAAATGAATTAAAAACATGAATGTAGAAAATCACACTGAACACAAGGATTGTGGTGTGAACTAGCCCTAAAGCAGTATTTAAACTGTAGCTTTGAAGTTTTCATAGCATGTTATGAATAGCATATGCTAATACAAAGACACAACAGCAGTAGGGGGCGATAGTTAGGCTCAAAACAGTTTGGAATGGCTTGTTACATAAAGCCTGCCTGTCCACTCTTCAGGTCAGCTAAACTGGTATGACTGCATTGCTGGGGGGGGGTGACCTTTTCTATTTTGGTCTGACCAGTAAAACATAGTTACACATTTTAATTAGTGTGGACAAACATGGCTATCACCATGGCAGAAGCAGACTCTAGACAAAGACTTCACATATTCTGGTTTCAGTCTTATCAATTCTTAATATTTTATTTTGATTTTAAATTAGGGTTAACCTAAGCCATATAATAAAATATTTCAATATTTTCTAAAACTTTACATTATTGTAGAGGTACTACAAACCCAGACATTTAACATGTTACAGGATGGTGTGCAAGTTTCAGATAGTGAGGAATATTAAGCACTTTCCGACCTACATATATAGGTCCTTGGTGGGAAGCGGTGATATCAGGATCATCGCTGCCGCAGAAGGCCCCACATCGCCGCGTGTTGTAGTTTCTGAGTGCTCTCATCCCAGGGAGCCTGGGGTCGCTGTTGGAGTTCATGTTGGCTGACCATTGAGATGGATGAGGAACTTCCACTTCCCAATCGTCTCTATGGTGTTTGAAACCGGAAGGAACAAGGATTTTGTCTCAGCCAGTTTCACCTGTTTGTTTACTGACTGTTACCTGCTAGTAAAGTAATTGATCAGGCTGATCTTGGTTGTCTGCTTTGGTGGGAAAAGGAGAGATCTGGAGCCTAATAAACTCCAGATCTCTCAGTAAAGAGGACCTGTCAATGCCTATGCTATTACAAAAGGATGTTGTTTATCCCTTGTAGTAGCAATACAATTGATAAAAAAAAGAAAGTGATAAAAACAATTTGAATAAAATAAATATTACAATAAACAAAAAATGTAAAGCTCCCTGTTCCCCTGTGCTCAGGCTCTGTAGGCATGCATATGTAAACCATGATCGCAACACACATGTCGCAAACATCAGATTGAGAGGAATAATTCTACAGCCAGACCTGTGTAACTCCAAACTGGTAATCTGTAAAGGATTTTAAAGCATTGCCTATGGATAATTTAATGTTCCGTAGTTTGTCACCATTCCATAGGCATTTACAATCTTAAAGCATGACACATTGGGTATCTATTTACACAGTATGACATCATCATCTTTAATATTTTACAAAAAATGGGTATTATATTGTGCACTAAAATTCATTAAAGGGTATTTTTTCCTGAAAATTTGTGTTTGATAAACCACTGTGTATATATTGTGTGACATAAAAAAAATGTCAACTACCACCATTTTATCCTCCATGGATTTTGCTTTCAGAAAAAAATGTAATGTTTGGGAATTCTAAGCAAATGTCTAGCAACAAAATGCAGGTTTTTGCATGTATATGAGAAATGTCAGAGCTGGCCTGGTTGTGAGTGGTTTAAGGTAATTTCTGCAATGCATTCCCATAGGAACATAATTTGAATTTGCTCAGGGAGCCCTGGTTCCCAACAAATGGTCTGTATTTACTATTGCACATCAGGACTGCCATATGTCATAGAAAACATTCCATTCGTGTTTAAATTCTAGACATGAACAGCCATTGAAAAAAAGTTACAACTTATTTGCAAAAAACACCAAATAAAACAAGATAATACTTAAAGACCAATTCTAATGTGCATTTCAATATTATATCACTGGAAACTGGCCAATTTTCTACCCTGGTCTTTATCTAATGATATAAATGACTTGAAAAAGGTAATCTAGGAAATGGGAAATGACACATTTGTCAGCAGTCCTACTGAAAGACAAAGGTGTCCGTTTATGACACAGAGAATAGCTGCGATTCAGAGGATCGCAGCTATTCTCTGGTCATTCACAGTTTATGACACTCAGGAGATCAGCGGAGAACATGTTCAGCCCTTCACTGGAGATCTGTGTTCTCCCTCCAGATTCTCCAGCCCAGAGCTGGAGAATCGGAAGAACCGCAAACTAAGCAGTGATAATTTACATCTGTTTAGTAAACTGATCTTTTACTGTAATCTCGTGAGATTATAGTAAAATCAGCCGTTTTCCAGTGTTTGTAGACCGTTCTCCAGCATTTGGAGACCGTTCTCCCTTCGTTCGGAAAACTGCTTCATAAAAGGCATTCACAGGAAAACTGTGTTCTCCGAGAATGCCAGAGAAATGAGCAGCGATCTATTACCGCTGGTTCATAAATGGACACCAAAGAGTGTGGGAGGTGTAGAGGCATGAACCCAATTACAGCAGCATCAGATTCAAAACGACAGGGGCAGCAGTGCTGTAAATCATATATTGAGATGAATCTATTTTCCCATTCATCCTAATATTTGTTTGCTTTGCGCAGGACTGTTTCATTTTAATGTGGAAGCCTGTCGGACAGACTGGGGAGCAGATTGCTCGATGGATTTGGTACCTCATAGGACGGCAAGTGGGAATGAGCTCTGACTGTGCAGGGGAGTTCTAGTACTGCCGGTAGAAAAAGGAGATGGAAGACAGAGACACCACATTTCCAGCACAATGTGTGTTGTACAAAATTTCCCTTTCCTACAGAAATTGGGTAAGGGGAAATTTTGGATAACACCCATTGTGCTAGACATAAATAACATCAATAGCTGTGTTCTATGTTACATTACCTGTCCACTAATAAGTAATATTTGTAGTACTGTATGACTAGTCATTGTAATGAATGGGACAGCAATACAGACTCTTGGAAAGAGTGTGGAAATTCTTAGCTATACAGTGTAACCTATCGTGGACTGGAAAAAAGAGAAGTATGTCTAAAGCTCTATTTGGCTATACTTCTCTTGTAGGTCACAAGAGTGCACTTAGTTTTGACTCCTGTGACCCAGATTCAGCTTACAAGGGGCTATTGCCCTCTTGTATCTCTAATATATCTGACACTAGCCCTGATACTTACCCTTATCTCTTAGACTACATTCACACAGGAGATCAAGCAGTAGTAAAATGAAGTAGTTGATCCACATTTTAAAGCCACCCACCCCCCCACCTACAAAATATAAATGCTAACTGCTCAGACCTGCAGACCTGTGCACAAAGTGCAGACGCCATAGTTTGGTAGGAACTATAAATGCCAAACATACCCTTTAAAGTGTATGGGGCCACACCACAACTGTGTACCAAACACTTGCCACATGGTTTGGCAAGGCATTTCAGAATTTAGAAAAATAAAACAGACATTCAGAAGGTGGCAATGTGGCCTCCTACATGCCTGAAAACTGACATTCAGTTGCCTCTGAGAAGTGGTTTAACCACTTGCCCTCCAGAGGATTTATCCTCCTTCCTGACCAGGTCATTTTTTGCATTACGGTGCTGTGTTACTTTGACTTACAATTGCACGGTCATGCAATGCTGCACCCAAATGAAATTTACGTCCTTTTTTTCCCATGAATTGAGCTATCTTTTGGTGGTATTTGATCGGCTGTGCGATTTTAAGATTTTGCGCTATTAAAAAAAAAAGACAGACAGACAATTTTGAGAAAAAAAAACTATTTTTTTGACTTTTTGCTATTAAACATGTTCAGTAAAATATTTAAAAAATCAAATTTTGTCAGAAATGTAGGCCAAAATGTATTCTGCTACATGTCTTTGCTAAACCAAAACCCAATACGTGTAAATTAATTGGTTTACTTGAAAGTTATAGCATTTACAAATGGCGGTATATATACTGGGCTTTTAAAAAAAATTTATTTTTAGTAGTAATGGCGGCGATCAGTGACTTATAGCAGGACTGCGGGCATTCTGACACTGGAGGGAACTGACTTGGTGTCACTGACATCCTCAGTGACACCAATACAGTGATCAGTGCTAAAAAAAGCACTGACACTGTAGTAATTGTACTGGGCAGGAAAAGGTTAACGAGGGGCGATCAAAAGGCTAACTGTGTGTGTGCTGTTTCAATATGTGCTGTGTCCTTGTGCTTCACTGTAAGCACACTGCTTTGGATGGCTGTGCTGTGCACAGTCATCCAAAGCAGTGTGCATGAGCTGACAGGGAGGAGAACTGATTGCTTGGCAATCATCAGGCGCCAGCGAGTAATCACCGGCCAGGAAATCACCAGCCAGGACCTGGAAATGTGAAATCATGTACATATACATGATTTTGCACACCTGTGCTGCCCTGTAGCAGTATTTCTGCTATAGGGTGGTTGGGAAGTGGTTAACATGGAGTGCATTTAGGCAGAAGGTAGCTGGAGGAGATCAGCAGCAGCACTTAGATGAAGGTGAACTAAATATTTTATAGAAAATAAATTCCAACTGCATGTGATACACTGGGGAAGATTTACTAAAACTGATGCATTCAGAATCTGGTGCACCTGTGCATGGTAGCCAATCAACTTCTAACTTCAGCTTGTTCAATTAAGCTTTGACAATACAATTTGGAAGCTGATAAGTTTCTGTGCAGAGCTGCACCAGGTTTTGCACACTCCAGTTTTAGTAAATGAACCCAACAGCACTTTATAGAATTAAAAGTCATTCAGTTGGGCTGTGTCCCCCTGAGATGATTTAACTTCTGTAGAGGTCCTGGTGACTATGAAAGCTTCAAAATTTTAGAGTTGTCACCAGAACAGGAATCGAGAGGAAATCTTCCAAAGAAGACACCAATTCCAGGTACAACTGTCTAATGCTGGCCATCCATCAGTAGAATTTTATTTGAAAGTGTTTTCAGAACATTTCTTTGATTTTCTAATGGTTAGTATGGTCAAATCAATACTCGTTTTTGACTCTAGTGATAAGAAAATTTGAAGAACCAAGAAGGGACATTTTTCTTGATTGGACAGAATTCTAACTGTGAATGTGGTTTTTGTTTGGGAAAAATTGCACATATTGTAAGGAAGCCTGTTTAATAAGTCTGGGATTCCGTTCAAACAACAGATCTGAATGACATTTTTGGACTTTCAAACAAAATCAGTTGACTCAAAGGAGACAAGAAAGAATGTTCAGCTGAATGATTTTTCAGAATTTCCATACGACTATTCAAGTGAAAATCGAATTGTGTAGAGCCAGTTTAGGAGAATGAGAGCTGAAGAGCCTATAGAGATTTCCTCTTGCTACCTGTTGCATCTATGGGACAGAAAGTGAAGGGAAATTTTCCCAGCAGTGCATACACAGCCAAAAACAATTTGCTATATATGCACATTAAAGTGTACCTAAACCTACAACAAAAAGTAATACTTTACAACCTATCCATCCATAGATGTGGTGGCTGTATAAGTTTTCTTATATTTTTTTAAATATTTTTTTTTCCTTTATTTTCATCCTGTGATCCTGCCAGTGACACACTTCCTTTCCTAGAGTGACAATGGTCCTTCACCATACTGTATCTACTGAGAGAAGGGGTCGTTACCCTAATGCTGGGTACACACTATATGTCTTTTTTTGTTCAACCCAGCGGGCTTAACAAAAAAAAAAAAAGACAGATCGCTGTACTAACAAAAGCGATGTTAGAACAGCGTTCTCCCCCATTGCGCTATTGTGTTCTAACAGGGGGACTGCCCCCCCGCCACAACACACAGGTCCATTGGTGAGATCGCCAATCAGATGCCAGTCATATGCTGATTTTCCATCATGCCTGATCGGGAGCTGTACACATTATTATATTATTATTATTATACAGTATTTATAAAGCGCCAATAGTTCACTCAGCGCTGTACCTTACAAAGGGGGACAGAACATGTGACAGAACAATACCAATACAATGCAAAACATGAGGGGATCGAGGGCCCTGCTCTTTCGAGCTTACAATCTAGGAGATGGACATGGCCAGAAGTTGTCCGGTTTCTACTGTACCAGTTGATTTCGGACAATATTTGGCCCGTGTCTACCTGGCCTTAGGATCCTCTCCTAATATGGACTACAAACACCTCCTACTCATCTGATTTACATAAGGAGTGGGTGTTTGGTAGTTCACAAAAGATAGTTTGGAAAGCTAAAAACATTATTTGAGGTTTCATTTTAGCGTACAGGAATTCCAGTCTACTGGATTTCTGGCAAGACGAAAAGGTATTTTTCTGTACTTGCTGAAAATGTACTCAATCTGAAAAAAAAGAAAACTAAGGCAAAACCACCACATCTAATGACTGGTGAACTGAAATATATTACATTATTTTTGTTTTGGGGTTTAGATATTTTCATTGTACAAGATTTATATATGCGCCAACAGTTTGCTCAGCGCTTTACAATATAACGGGAGACAATACATCAACAGTACAGTTCAATACAAGAGGGTTAGGAGGGCCCTGCTCCTTAGAGCTTGCAATCTAAGAGGGAGGAGCTAGTGGTACAAAAGGTAATAACTGTGGGGGATGGACTGGTAGGAGGAATAGAAGATTCCATTATTAGCTGAGGGCAGGATAGGCTTCCCTGAAGAGACAGGTTTTCATAGATCGCCTAAAAGTGAGCAGAGTAGGCGATAGTCTGATAAATTGGGGTAGAGAGTTCCAGAGGATGGGAGAAGCTCTGGAGAAGTCCTGGAGATAAGCATGGGAGGAGGAGACAATGGAGCTAGAGAGCAGGAGGTTGTGTGAGGAGTGGAGAGTACGGTTTGGGTGATATTTGGAGACAAGATTGGTGATGTAATTTTGGGCAGTTATAAATGGCTATATATGTTATGTTTAATGTTTTGAATTTTATTTGTTGGTCAATGGGAAGCCAGTGGGGGGATTGGCAGAGAGGGTACTTAAAGGTAATCATGGCCATGTAAGATTTTGCATAACATTTGAACACGGTTATGAATTGTACTACATTTTGGCTGT